ATGCCCTAGATAGTCGCCCTTTGGGGTCAGGATTGATTAGGGAGGTCACAGCGCCTCTCAGGATGAAAACGCAGGAGGGCCATGAGGAGATAATTTGTTTGTATTTGATTGATTCTCCTGCATTTCCCGTGGTGTTGGGGATTCCCTGGTTAACATTTACATTTGACATTTTAGTCATTTAGCAGACGCTTTTATCCAGAGTGACTTACAGTTAGTGAGTGCATACATTTTTATTTATTTTTTATTTTATTTTTTTTATACTGGAATCGAACCCACAACCCTGGCGTTGCAAATGCCATGCTCTACCAACTGAGCTACATCCCTGCCGGCCATTCCCTCCCCTACCCTGGACGACGCTGGGCCAATTGTGCGCCGCCCCATGGGTCTCCAGGTCGCGGCCGGCTACGACAGAGCCTGGATTTGAACCAGGATCTCTAGTGGCACAGCTAGCACTGCGATGCAGTGCCTTAGACCACTGCGCCACTCGGGAGGAAAAAACATCTCATGACCCCAACATTTCATGGCAACAGAGGGCTCTCAAGGGATGGTCTGATCAGTGTTTTGGGCGGTGCGTAGGGGCAACGATGGTGGAAAGTCCGAACCAAGTTCCCACCATGCACATTCCACCTGAATATGCCGATTTGGCACTCGCCTTCTGTAAAAAGAAGGCGACTCAATTACCACCCCATCGACAGGGGGATTGTGCGATAGACCTCCAAGTAGGCGCTGCGCTTCCTCGTAGTCATGTGTATCCTCTGTCTCAGGAGGAGACAGCGCGGCTATGGAGACATATGTCACCGAATCTCTGAGATACGGCCGTCCACTTCCCCTGCGTCATCGAGTTTCTTTTTTGTGAAGAAGAAGGATGGGGGTTTACGCCCGTGTATTGACTACCGTGGTCTCAATCAGATCACAATCAAATACAGCTATCCTCTCCCTCTGATTGCTAGTATGACGGAGTCATTACACGGGGCGCGATTCTTCACAAAATTGGATCTCAGGAGCGCGTACAACCTGGTGCGCATTAGGGAGGGAGATGAGTGGAAGACAGCATTCAGTACCACCTCGGGTCACTATGAGTACCTCGTCATGCCATACGGTTTAATGAATGCTCCTTCAGTCTTCCAATCGTTTGTGGACGAGATTTTCCGGGACCTGCATGGACAGGGTGTAGTGGTGTATATTGATGACATTCTAATATACTCCGCTACACGAGCCGAGCATGTGTCCCTGGTTCGTCGGGTGCTTGGTAGACTGTTGGAGCATGACCTGTATGTGAAGGCGGAGAAATGTCTGTTCTTCCAGGAGTCCATCTCCTTCCTGGGACACCGGTTGTCCGCGTCAGGGGTGGAGATGGAGATTGACCGCGTTTCAGCCGTGCGCAATTGGCAGACTCCCACCACGGTGAAGGAAGTGCAGCGGTTTTTGGGTTTTGCCAATTACTACCGGAGGTTTATCCGGGGCTTTGGACAGGTAGCAGCTCCCATTACTTCCCTGCTAAAGGGGGGTCCGGTGCGTCTGCAGTGGTCGGCTGAGGCGGACAGGGCTTTTAGACATCTGAAGGACCTGTTTACCTCGGCTCCAGTGCTGGCACATCCGGATCCCTCTTTGGCGTTCCAAGTTGAAGTGGATGCGTCCGAGGCTGGGATCGGTGCTGTACTGTCTCAGCGCTCGGGTACACCACCAAAACTCCGCCCCTGTGCTTTCTTTTCTAAGAAGCTCAGTCCGGTGGATCGCAATTATGACGTGGGGGACAGGGAGCTGTTAGCTGTGGTTCAAGCCCTGAAGGTGTGGAGGCATTGGCTTGAGGGGGCTAAACACCCTTTTCTCATTTTGACTGACCATCGTAACCTGGAGTACATCAGGGCGGCGAGGAGGCTGAACTCTCGCCAGGCAAGGTGGGCTATGTTTTTTACCCGATTTGTATTTACGCTCACCTATAGACCAGGGTCACAGAACGCTAAGGCAGACGCCCTGTCCCGACTATATGACACAGAGGAGAGGTCCATTGAGCCCACTCCCATACTTCCGGAGTCTTGTCTGGTGGCACTGGTGGTGTGGGAGGTTGATGCGGACATCGAGCGGGCGTTACGTACCGATCCTACTCCCCCCCAGTGTCCAGAGGGTCGGAAGTACGTGCCGCTCGAGGTTCGTGATCGATTGATTTATTGGGCTCACATGTCACCCTTCTCTGGTCATCCTGGTATTGGTCAGACAGTGCACTGCTTTAGTGGGAAGTACTGGTGGCCCACTTTAGCTAAGGACGTGAGGGTTTATGTTTCCTCCTGCTCGGTGTGCGCCCAGTGTAAGGCGCCTAGACACCAACCCAGAGGGAAGTTACAACCCCTACCCGTTCCACAACGGCCGTGGTCTCACCTATCGGTGGATTTTGTCACGGACCTTCCCCCCTCCCAGGGGAACACGACGATCTTGGTCGTTGTGGATCGGTTTTCGAAGGCCTTCCGTCTCATTCCTATGCCAGGTCTCCCTACAGCCCTACAAACTGCTGACGCCCTGTTTACACACGTCTTCCGGCACTACGGGGTACCTGAGGTAAATGTAATGTAAATGTGATATAGTGTCTGATCGGGGTCCCCAGTTCATCTCTAGAGTCTGGAGGGCGTTTATGGAACGTCTGGGGGTTTTCACCCCGAGAGTAATGGGCAGGTGGAGAGAGTGAAGAGGATGTGGGTAGGTTTCTGAGGTCCTATTGCCAGGACCGGCAGGGGGAGTGGTCGGGATTTATCCCCTGGGCAGAGATAGCCCAAAACTCACTCCGCTACTCCTCAACTAACCTTACGCCTTTCCAGTGTGTGCTAGGTTATCAGCCGGTCCTGCGGTTATCGAAGCCCCTGCGGTGGACGAGTGGTTTCGGCGCTCGGAAGAAACCTGGAACGCTGCGCATGTCCATCTGCAGCGGGCTATCAGGCGGCAAAAGGCGAGCGCCGATCGCCACCGCAGTGAGGCTCCGGTGTATGCACCGGGAGATCGTGTCTGGCTCTTGACCCGTAACCTGCCCCTTCGCCTGCCCTGCCGGAAGCTGGGTCGGCAGTTTGTGGGGCCATTTAAAGTCCTGAGTAGATTGAACGAGGTATGTTATAGGTTACAACTGCCCATTAATTACCGCATTAACCCCTCGTTCCATGTGTCTCTCCTCAGGCCGGTAGTAGCTGGTCCACTCCAGGAGAGTGAGGTACGAGAGGCTTCTCCGCCCCCACTGGACATCGAGGGGGCTCCGGCGTACTCAGTCCGTTCCATCTTGGATTCGAGGCGTCGGATGGGGGGCCTGCAGTATCTCGTGGAGTGGGAGGGTTACGGTCCGGAGGAACGGTGCTGGGTCCCTAGGAGGGACGTCCTAGATCCCTCCATGTTGAGGGATTTCCACCGGAGTCATCCGACTCGCCCTGCTCTGCCTCTTCCTGGCCGTCCCCGAGGCCGGGGTCGGCGCACGGCTGGAGCCGCGCGTCAAGGGGGTGGGGGGGGGGGGGTACTGTCAAGGATTCAGCCGAGGCTGCTCCTCCTCCTTGCTCGGGCAGGCTTCGGTGTTCTTCGTCCCCGGAGTACTAGCTGCTACTGATCTATGTTTCGGTGTTTGTCTTGTTTGGTCTTTATTGTTTACACCTGTTTCCAATTATGTTGCATTGGCGCATGTGACCAATAAAATTTGATTTGATTTGATTTATAACCCCCTGTCTCTCATTGTGTATTGTGTGTGATTGTTTTTCGTTAGGTCGGCACTTGCTTTTGTGTGCGAGTTATTGTTCCTCCCTGTTAGGAGATTTGATTTGTACTTTGAATTACTGTGTTCAGTAAAGTACGTCTGCCAGTAGCTCGGTGTCCTGCGCTTGACTTCGTTTACCGCATACACATCACCCTGACAAATACATTCCGTAATATATGTTCAAATGTATATAAAAATGTTTTTAATACATTATTTGACCAATTTAAAATCTTTCACATGTATCCAATTTTTTTAACATCTAAAAATATATTTTAAATGTATTTTTCTTTCTCATATGGGCCCCCTCCTCAAAAGGCCTACCGGTAGAATGGGTTCCAGTGTTCAAACACCAAGCTTGGAATGAGATACAGAGAACACAAGCTATAATCTAAACATACACATACAAACCACCCCACACACCCAAACCATGTTGAATGGTCTCAGTGGGGTAGTTAATGATAAAGTGACCTGGGACCTGGGTTCTCCTCCATGGCTTTAGTTTAATGGCTCAGTAGTCTGTCACTTATACATTAGTAGTTTATCATTAGCCAGAGCCTGTCCCTTTGTTTGAATTACAATCTCAGATAGAAACCTGTACACACCTCCACTCATTGAGTAACATTTAGGATCTCATGCACCTCCTGATCTTTGATCTATTTAGCCTGGTTGAGATTTCTAAGACTTCCACATGGAAAGCTTTCTGGATCGGTAGGCTACAGACTGAGAGGCTTCTTTCCCTCTTCCTTCAAATCATTAACTTCTAGAGGATTACTTGTCTTGACACCCTGGTGCCCATGTAGATTGTGGATAGTCTCGTCTCCTTGGTCCTCCACTGAGGATGTGTTGACTTTCTCTCCCTGTGGTCAAACTCCTGTGATGGATGGTGTATTTATCTGTGGACCTGAGCATTCCACCCATGTCTGAAAAGAATCAGCTTTGTTTGACCTGAAATTGGGTTTGTCTCGAAAGACAGAGGGAGAGAGAGAGACAAAGACTCTTTTTTAAACCTAAAGGAGGGGAGAGAGGTATCAGATTGGGATTAGGCTGTTATGAGGTCAGTTTGTGTTTCAGCATCCTTCACTCTCTGACACACAAACAGAGGAACTTGGGCCCCAAGGCTTTGAGGGACCCATCTAAGGCAAAGTCCAGAGAAAAGAGCTAAAGCTATGAGTGAGGTTGTTTTTAGAGCTTGGTTCAGTGAAATTTCACTCTAGCAGCACATAATCGACTTAGCTCTAGACTAGTTTAAAAGACAGACAGAGAGGTTAGGTGTAAAGGAATGGATACCCTAAGAGACAGCAGTGATCCATGGGAGGTCTACGAGAGGGAAACCTCCAGCAGCAGCTCTTGGTGAGTTTTGTATTTTTAAGAACAATATGAAGGATAGACGTTATAATCCATAGTAAGTGTGTCTTATTTTTTTTATACACCAAATAACTCAAGATTTTAAATAAAGTTTATATTCATATTTTATGTTTAGCATAAGTAGAAGTTGACACCTGTCAGCTTTTGTAATCCCTTAAATTTGTCTGGATCCTGTTATTTCAATTCCACAGCAAATAATGCTATCAAAATATATTCATTTTTTTACCATTTCTATATGAAAATAGCTCTCTAAGTAGAGATAATTCAAGTCTTATTTCCAAACCCTTTTGGAGTAGAAACTGTCTCATTGACTGCATATCAATGATTACCCGGCTGTGCGGTGAGTTGATCACGAGAACTACCATGATCTAAAAGGATCACTCATGCGTGCCTTGATGAACCAGGAAGAGTGAGGAGAATGTGGAGACATGACCGATTGTCCTGTGGTTTCCCATGGCAACAGGGCCACACAAGGCTTGTCCTCATCAAGGTTGGCAACATACGATACGGGGGTTTAGGGCCTAGCAGTCTCCCTCACCCCCTCAAATCTCTCTTCAAGAACCCCTTAAATCCATACAATACAAGGAAAGTTGAGAGTTTCAACCTCAATACAGCAATGATTTTTAGAGCATTTAAATACAAAAAAAAAGGTATCTTTTAAACAGTAATTTCAAGCAAGCTTACCACATCAAATCAAGGGCTTGGTTAGTTCACTGTAAATCCCAAGGCATTTTTAACTCAAATACATCTAGTAAATTGAACTCAGAGTAAATGAAAAGTAATTATTACTTAAAAGGTTCATGTGGAACTTACTCAAAACTAAATGAGAAGTCACATCAACTCAATTTTTTAAAATTATGATAACAATAACAATATAACTTTTTCCCCAGGATGCTCTACTGTAGGTAGATTTTTTTGAATAGTTTTTAATATCTGTTTTTGCATTTCATTGAGTGATTAATCTTAAACTACACAAAGATAAATAACATATTTTATTCTAAACAAAGACGATCATTTTTTTCACCCGTTACTGAAATGGTTGTTCCAGTTTAAATGGCTTAGGTAGTCTCCTCACACTGTTCCTAACCCTGGCAGTCATTCTGAATGCAGGTTGCGGGTGAATAAAAATTCCAACTATTAGATATCATAACTCTGGCTGGATTCCAATAGGAATTACACATCACTTTGCAAGCCAGAATAATGTGACTTGCAGGTAGGTTTGCAAAATTCTGGTAAATTTCCCATAAATCCCAGTTGGAAGATTCCTGGATATTCTTCAACCAGGATTTTGGGAAAACCTGGGAATTTTGGGAAAGTTGCCAGAATTTTGCAACCTTACTTGTAGGCCTCATAATGACTGTCAGGGTTAGGAACAGTATGTGGAGACTACCTAAGCCATTTCAACCGGAACTACCATTTCAGTAATATAAATAAAATACATTTTTCTAAACAAATCCAATCATTCAGTTAGATTTTATGCACCATAAAATCTAACTGAATGATTGGATTTGTTTAGAAAAATGTATTTTATTTATATTTGTGTAGCACAAGATTAATCAATCAATCAATGTACATGCAAAAACACAGATATTAAAAACAATTCCAAAAAAATCAACCTGCAGTAAAGCATGCTGGAAAAAAAGTGTATTTGTTATCATAACTTAAAAGGAATTGAGTTGATTTGACTTCTCGTTTAGATTTGAGTCAGTACCACATACATATTTGAAGTAATAATGACTTTTCATTGACTTTGAGTTCAATTTACTATAAGTATTTGAGTTACAAATGCCTTGTGGTCTTTGAAATTGGTCACAAAGTGTGCAGTCTCACTGCTGCCACAGGGGTGGGCTATATGTTCATATTCTGTAAGCCTTTCATATTATGCAGTATTACTGTCAATAATGGCCAGTACGTGAATCTATATCTAACCAATATACAGTTTGCGATCTGTATGTGACGGTTTTGTGAGTTAGAGTCTACTCCTGCTGCCTGCATAGGGACTGTAAACTGCTATTCCACTCTACTCTACTCTACTCCACAGTGATGCAGGCCAGAATGCCTGTCCTCAGGAGGAACTCAGACTTGAACACCTGCTGTTGCTGAGGGATGCATTTACCAGTCGCACACCCTCGGACAGGGGGTCCCGGCGGAGTTGGAGAGGTACACGGAGAAAGGGAGGAGGTAAAGGAGGGATGAGTCTAGAGGAGTTCCAGAATGCTCTGAGTGCTGTGATTGGTCCAGACAGCCAGAGCGGATGGATGGAGAGGGTCTTCAATGAGGTAACTATGCCCCTTTGTTACGTACAGTTGAACTCTTTGTTTGTTAGTTTACACATTCTCATTTCCAATAGATTGACGTGTCGCGTGATGGCTATGTGGAGTGGGAGGAGCTGTGTAGCTACCTGCTGCAGCAGTGCAGAGAGAGAGACCGCACCTCCAGGCCTAGAAGTGCTCTACTGGACACTGAACCACTCATCAGACGCTGCTCACACAACAAGGTGAGGGACGCCTGTCCAGTCATTGCTTATAGAGTGTGTTAATAACTATGTAATAACTATGTAATAATTAGTTAATTGCTCATACTGTATGTTATTGCTTACACCCTATGTTATATGTATGCAATAAGGAATTCATAAGTATGCAGCAGTCTCCATTGACCCGTTTCTCTTTCTCTCATCAGTCACTCTCTCACTTCACCTCTAAACTTTTCTCTTTTCCCCCTTACAGCAGGAGCCCACTATCCGTGTAGTGGCTGTTCCCCATCCTCCCCCCCTCCGCTACATCAGTGTCAGTAAGGGGGGGCTGCTCACTGTGTGGAACAACCGACTACATGTCCTCAAGACTCTGGAGGTGCGTGAGCTGATAAGCCACACACGCACACAATCACACACACACACTCTCACTCTCTCTTCCATGTATCTCCTCAGCTGGCTGGAGACCCTGCAGAGCAAGGGGTTAACAGAAGGAGGTTCAGGGGCTGGACCACTGATGCTGTCTACCTGCCCAAAGTCCACAAGGTCGCCATAGCAACCAGCAGCAGGGACCTCCACTTTGTTGACGTGTCCACGGCCAGCTGCTTTGAGGACGTCCACTTGTTTGGTATTTAACCAACTGTTTTTGAAAAGTTAGAAAGACTCAAAGTAGAACTTTTGCTTTAATTTGATCAATCAGTTCAATTTCTGACTTTATGTCCCTGTTGATCTGTCATCTCTAAACATGGTTCTGACTTTATGCCCCTGTTGATCTGTCATCTCTAAACAGGGTTCTGACTTTATGTCCCTGTTGATCTGTCATCTCTAAACAGGGTTCTGACTTTATGTCCCTGTTGATCTGTCATCTCTAAACAGGGTTCTGACTTTTGTCCCTGTTGTTCTGTCATCTATAAACAGGGTTCTGACTTTAAGTCCCTGTTGTTCTGTCATCTCTAAACAGGGTTTTGACTTTATGTCCCTGTTTGTTCTGTCATCTCTAAACAGGGTTCTGACTTTATGTCCCTGTTTCTCTGTCATCTCTAAACAGGGTTCTGACTTTAAGTCCCTGTTGTTCTGTCATCTCTAAACAGGGTTCTGACTTTATGTCCCTGTTTGTTCTGTCATCTCTAAACAGGGTTCTGACTTTATGTCCCTGTTTCTCTGTCATCTCTAAACAGGGTTCTGACTTTATGTCCCTGTTGATCTGTCATCTCTAAACAGGGTTCTGACTTTATGTCCCTTGTTTTTTTTCCATCTCTGAACAGGGTTCACCAATGTTCCAACCTCTCTCTGCTACTGGCATGATACAAAGGTACGGCATCAGTTCTCTGTCATAAATGAACGTACATTTGACCCATTCTAAACGTTCAATTACTTGTCTTTTCATGAACCATGATGGATGTTTTTATAGTTATGGCAGTTATATTCACATCGTCTTCCCCTGATATCTGTTGTTATTCCTCCCAGTCTCCAGGGCGGCGCTCTTTGCTGCTGTGGGGAGATGAGAAGGGAGGGATCCATCTGTTGTGGTTCCTCCAACCCCACATTGGGCTGTTTGAGAGCCCCTTCACTGAGGACAATGTCCCTCAGAGGATTTACATGCAGGTAGGCCTCATTCACTCTCCATTCACTCTGTGCTGGGCTGGAACAAAAACTGGAACACAGTTATAATGCCCATAGCCTGCGGCAGTAGCTTAGAGGTTAGAGAGACGGACCTGCAACCTGAAGTTTGGGGGGTCAAGCCCCAGGCTAGGCGCCTGAACTGGCAACTGGATCCCATGTTCCATGTCCTGCCGTTCTGTCCTTGAGCAAGGCACTTAATCCCCCCCATTGCTCTCCATCCAGGGGCGCTGCGGTGTGGTTGACCTTGTGCCTCTTAATGTGTATCTGGGGGTGTTGGGAAAGTCACAAGACAAATTTATGTTCCAACCAACGGACAGTAAAGTACAGTATCTATTCTATAACCTTACTAAATGTGTTACGGGCACTTCTAGGGTAGTTATTTGTCTTGGCACTGTGGTTAGCATGTGTTCCTTGGGACCAAAAGGTAGGGTGTGTTCTTCAGGCTTCTGCTCCCTGTAGCTCTGCTGGACCAGGGTTGGTTTACTGGTATTATGGTGAGAACATGTCTCCTAACAGGATATTGGTGACCACAGCCGCCTAGTCTCCTATCAACACATCCCCGCAGTCCACCAGGAACCAATCAACAGGATCATGTTCGAGCCCCACACTGACCTCATCATGACATCATCAGGAAGCGACGCCTCCTCAGTGGTCATCATGCACATGTCACTCAGGAGAAAAACCTATGTTTGGAAAATCAATAAGGTAATAATATAACACAGTATCTACACTGTTAGGAGTATTTCATGTGTTGTTACTATGGAGTACGTAATGAGGCCACCATTTATATGGGATTCTACAAAAAGCAGAGGGTAGCTGTTATTGTACCATACAGCCTTTGGACTCAAGGTTGGGTTTGATAGTAGACAGAGAAGGTCTGAGTGACCTTGACCCAGGTCAAGTTGAAATGTCAGCTCTGACCCAATCAGATTATGTCATGGTAGCTATCTCAACAAAATAGTCATGGAGGATATTGAATAACATCAGAGGTCAACAGTCACACCGCAGAATGATGAAACTCATGTTTTATCTTGCTTACTGTCGCCGAGTCCCACCCTATAACCAATATAAATACACACGCACGCACGTGCACGCATGCATGCACGCACACACACACACACACACACACACACACAAAGGATAGAATGAATGTTTACTGGGGAGAAAACAAGTAATGTGACTGGCCCTGCTGAGGAAGTGATTAAAGTGGGTGGGGTGTTTTGTATTGGTCGTTATGTTCTGAGAGGGCTCATATTGTGCTCCAATAAAACTTTCTAGCTTGGTCAGTTGAGCAATGGAGCTGTCCTCAACAAATCCCCATTATAAACTAATAGGAAAGACAGGAAGTATTTTTTGAATATTTAGTCACGCTACATTTTATTAAGTGACCCACAAATCCTAACTTCCTTTTCTCTATGTCTGTCTGCTGTCCTGTCTGTCTGTCTCTCTTCCTCTGTTCTCTTTCTCTCTTTTCACCTCTTTCCCTCTCTCTCACTTCACCCCCTCTCTCCCTCCTCCGCAGGGTGTGACGTGTTTTGATTTCAGCAGGTCTCTCAACCTGTTGGTGACGGGTGGTCTGGACCCTGCGGTCAGACTGTGGAACCGCTTCATTACCACTCGGCCAGTCGCGGTCCTGCACGGTCACGGCACCACAGTACTGGACGTGTTCATCTACCAACCACTGGGACAGGTCCTCAGCTACTCCAAAAATGCTGTAAGTCAATAACCACCAGATAGCTTGGCTAGAGACACAACACTGGCCATATCTTCAGGGGTAAACTGTAAGCCCTCACCTAAGACAGTTAAAGAGAGGCAAACCTATCCCTAGACTGAAGCCCACCAGTACTACACCACAATGTATTCTGTCCTGGCTGTGGTCCAGGCCACCAGTACTACACCACAAGGTATTCTGTCCTGGCTGTGGTCCAGGCCACCAGTACTACACCACAAGGTATTCTGTCCTGGCTGTGGTCCAGGCCACCAGTACTACACCACAAGGTATTCTGTCCTGGCTGTGGTCCAGGCCACCAGTACTACACCACAAGGTATTCTGTCCTGGCTGTGGTCCAGGCCACCAGTACTACACCGCAATGTATTCTGTCCTGGCTGTGGTCCAGGCCACCAGTACTACACCGCAATGTATTCTGTCCTGGCTGTGGTCCAGGCCACCAGTACTACACCACAAGGTATTCTGGCTGTGGCCCAGGTGCTTTTTGTTTTCCACTCTTTGATTTCTTTCAGAAATTGTTTGTTTACCCACCTGGTTGTCTCTGTGCAGGAGGGTTCAGAAGGGGTTTGTTTACCCACCTGGTTGTCTCTGTGCAGGAGCTGAGGGTGTGGGACATCTCCTCCCATCGCTGTCTGAGGACCGTCCACCTGCAGTTCCCCTGTCTGCAGCCAGGGCGCACCCCAGAGCACGGCAACTTCCCGTTCCTGTTGGTGTCCCCACCCTTCCTGCCGCAGACTCCGCCCCATATCCTCGTGTCCTGTAGAGACTACCTGGCCAGGCTGAGGCTGGAGGAAGGGGGGAGGGGGGAGGAGAAGGGAGAAGGGGGGAGAGGAGGGGGGAGACAATGCCATGGTGCCCCCCTCTCCTGTGCCCTCTACAACCCCACACTGAAACAGGTGGGTATGGAATCTTATACACTGTCACAGCCATGAGGGTGTGCATACTGCATGTGTGTGTTTACGTCTGTGTGTGTGTGCATGTTTACATCCGTGTGTGTGTGTGTGTGTTTATATGTGTAGGTCATCGCCGGATGTGACGACTCGTCTGTATCAGTGTGGGACGTAGAAACAGGGAGGCTGCATCTGAAGATCACCAGCGCTCATGGAGAGGAGGAGATTACCTGCATGGCGCTAGACTCCTCCCACAGACGACTCATCACTGGTGCACGCAACGGAACGATCAAGGTACCCTGTGGTAAAAGCTACTGCAGCCTATGCAGTGGAGCCTGTGCTTTCACCCATCCAATCATGTTACTGATGTCTGAGGCTGCAGAAAATGAGAAAAGCAGCATACTTCTCCAAGTATCTGTTAAGACCTCCTCCTTCACTATGATTCAGTACTTCTCCAAGTATCTGTTAAGACCTCCTCCTTCGCTATGATTCAGTACTTCTCCAAGTATCTGTTAAGACCTCCTCCTTCGCTATGATTCAGTACTTCTCCAAGTATCTGTTAAGACCTCCTCCTTTACTATGATTCAGTACTTCTCCAAGTATCTGTTAAGACCTCCTCCTTCACTATGATTCAGAACTCCTTCACTATGATTCAGTTAGAACAACTTTAGATGGACACAGATGTAGTTTACTGTGATGAGGTGTTTCTCTCTGTTAAAAGGTGTGGAACCTACTGAATGGCCTCAACCTACACAAGCTAGAGCCTGTCACCCTCTCAGAGGTCACAGGGGTCATCTGTCTTCATTACAACCAGTTGCTGGCCATGGGGTGGAGCCAGCAGGTCGCTCAGTATGACATCAAAGGGGCTAAGGTGAGAAAACACACTCATATGAATGCACGCACACACACACACACACACACACACGCACACACACACACACACACACACACACAAACAAATACACCCTTTCCTTTTCAATGAAAAGTTATTGTGTGCCAGCCAGGATAAACACCTACACTGCACTCTCAGGTGAAAGAGTCCACCACACGTCAACCCCAGTGATATCTTCCACTACCGCCAGACCATGTCTGTTCCATGTGGTTACACTCAGAGCTACCAGACACATGCCTTCCTTACAACAGAGCTTTCATGAATGATATCTATTTATATACTGTACATAGAGATCTACTCTGAAGTTTCTTATTGTAAGACGTCAGCGGAACCTGGTGGGGTTTTGAGAACACTACTAAAACAACTAGGCTAAGAGGGGGTGTATGTAAATTATGTCAGTGACTGTTGCAAAGTACGACCTCTGGGTCTTGTTATACGCACAGTATCAGTCACTACAATTTGGAACTAGAATTTTGTACATGGGTATTCACCCCCCTTGGCATTTTTCCTATTTGGTTGCCTTACAACATGGAATTAAAATTGATTTTTTGGGGGTTTGTATCATTTGATTTACACAACACCACTTTGAAGATGCAAAATACTTTTTTTTGTGAAACAAACAAGAAAAAATACAAAAAAACAGAACTTGAGCGTGCATAACTATTCACCCCCCCAAAGTCAGTACTTTGTAGATCCACCTTTTGCAGCAATTACAGCTGCAAGTCTCTTGGGGTATGTCTCTATAATTTTTCAAGGCAAAACTGCTCCAGCTCCTTCAAGTTGGATGGGTTCCGCTGGTGTACAGCAATCTTTAAGTCATACCACAGATTCTCAATTGGATTGCGGTCTGGGCTTTGACTAGGCCATTCCAAGACATTTAAATATTTCCCCTCAAACCACTTGAGTGTTGCTTTAGCAGTATGCTTAGAGTCATTGTCCTGCTGGAAGGTGAACCTCGGTCCCAGTCTCAAATCTCTGGAAGACTGAAAGAATTTCCCTGTATTTAGCACCATCCATCATTCAATTCTGACCAGTTTCCCAGTCCCTGCCGATGAAAAACATCCCCACAGCATTATATATTTTTTTAACCTTTATTTAACTAGGCAAGTCAGTTAAGAACAAATTCTTATTTACAATGACGGCCTACACCGGCCAAACACGGACGACGCTGGGCCAATTGTGCGCTGCCCTATGGGACCGTCATTGTAAGCAATGGCTTTTTTTCTTGCCACTCTTCCGTAAAGGCCAGCTCTGTGGAGTGTACGGCTTAAAGTGGTCCTATGGACAGATACTCCAATCTCCGCTGTGGAGCTTTGCAGCTCCTTCAGGGTTATCTTTGGTCTCTTTGTTGTCTCTCTGATTATTGCCCTCCTTGCATGGTCCGTGAGTTTTGGTGGGCGGCCCTCTCTTGGCTGGTTTGTTGTGGTGCCATATTCTTTCCATTTTTTAATAATGGATTGAATGGTGCTCTGTGGGATGTTCAAAGTTTCAGATATTTTTTTACAACCCAACCCTGATCTGTACTTCTCCACAACTTTGTCCCTGACCTGTTTGGAGAGCTCCTTAGTCTTCATGGTGCCGCTTGCTTGGTGGTGCCCCTTGCTTAGTGGTGTAGCAGAATCTGGGGCCTTTCAGAACAGGTGTATATATACTGAGATCATGTGACACTTAGATTGCACACAGGTGGACTTTATTTAACTAATTTTGTGACTTCTGAAGGTAATTGGTTGCACCAGATCTTATTTAGGGGCTTCATAGCAAAGGGGGTGAATACATATGCACACACCACTTTTCCGTTATTTATTTTTTAGAATTTTTTGAAACAAGTAGTTTTTTTCATTTAACTTCACCAATTTGGACTATTTTGTGTATGTCCATTACATTAAATCCAAATAAAAATCAATTTAAATTACAGGTTGTAATGCAACAAAATTGGAAAAACGCCAAGGGGATGAATACTTTGCAAGGCACTGTAGATATATAGTGGAAAACTTGGTTTGTTTTCACATTTGAAATAATGCAATGTTGGCACCAAGATGCAATTGAGAATATTATTCTGGTGATTGTCTGGTTCCAATATGGCGCCCTGTGTGTGTTGGTGTAGGATATGTTTGTGAGGGCTGACATGTCGTGGAAGTCAGGTCAGCAACACAGAACTGACATCCTGGTGGTTGACCACTGCCCTGCCCTGGGGGTCATTGCTACTGGCAGCCATGATGGAGAGGTCATCGTCTGGACCTTGGACACACAGAGACCCCTGGTTCGCCTGCAGAGGGCCACACACTCACTGTGAGTCTTCTGTGTGTGTGTGTTGTTCTTTTTTTACATCAATGCTTTATTGCAAATTGAAATAAAGTATTCAACATGTGTTTACTGTGTGTGTGTGTTTGCATCTGCATGCCTGTGTGTGTGCCTGCGCACGTGCATGTGTAGGACAACGCCCCCTGTGGACGCGTTGCTGTTCCTGCAGCGGAGGGCTGGGGACAGACAGTGGAGGAACAGACCTCTCCTCCTCTCCTCACAGGCTGGAGGGATCTATTGGTGGAGCATCACTGGACACACACACACACACGGTAAACAGGACACACATAGTGTAGCTAAGGAAGGAGAGAGAATGAAAGTGGGAGAGGGAGTGTATGTGGTGGCTGTAGTAAATCTGAGTGTATGTGGTGGGCTGTAATACATCTGAGTGTATGTGGTGGCTGTAGTAAATCTGAGTGTATGTGGTGGACTGTAATAAATCTGAGTGTATGTGGTGGCTGTAGTAAATCTGAGTGCATGTGGTGGGCTGTAATAAATCTGAGTGCATGTGGTGGACTGTAGTAAATCTGAGTGCATGTGGTGGACTGTAGTAAATCTGAGTGTATGTGGTGGACTGTAGTAAATCTGAGTGTATGTGGTGGGCTGTAATACATCTGAGTGTATGTGGTGGCTGTAGTAAATCTGAGTGTATGTGGTGGGCTGTAATAAATCTGAGTGTATGTGGTGGCTGTAGTAAATCTGAGTGTATGTGGTGGGCTGTAATAAATCTGAGTGCATGTGGTGGACTGTAGTAAATCTGAGTGCATGTGGTGGACTGTAGTAAATCTGAGTGTATGTGGTGGACTGTAGTAAATCTGAGTGTATGTGGTGGGCTGTAATACATCTGAGTGTATGTGGTGGCTGTAGTAAATCTGAGTGTATGTGGTGGGCTGTAATAAATCTGAGTGTATGTGGTGGACTGTAGTAAATCTGAGTGCATGTGGTGGACTGTAGTAAATCTGAGTGTATGTGGTGGACTGTAGTAAATCTGACGGTGACTTTATGATGACAGTTGTGTGGCAATGTGGTGTCATCTATGCTGATGATGATACGTTTGTATTCATTCCCACTATGTTGATGATGATACGTTTGTATTCATTCCCACTATGCTGATGATGATACGTTTGTATTCATTCCCACTATGCTGATGTGAATACGTGTGTATTCATTCCCACTATGTTGATGATGATACGTTTGTATTCATTCCCACTATGCTGATGATGATACGTTTGTACTCATTCCCACTATGCTGATGATGATACGTTTGTATTCATTCCCACTATGCTGATGATGATACGTTTGTATACATTCACACTATGCTGATGATGATACATTTGTATTCATTCCCACTATGCTGTTGTGAATACGTGTGTATTCATTCCCACTACGCTGATGTGAATACGTGTGTATTCATTCCCACTATGCTGATGATGATACGTTTGTATTCATTCCCACTATGCTGATGAGTATACAGTATTATCATCTCTCTCTGTCTGGAGTATACAGTATTATCATCTCTCTCTGTCTGGAGTATACAGTATTATCATCTCTCTTTGTCTGGAGTATACAGTATTATCACCTCTCTCTGTCTGGAGTATACAGTATTATCATCTCTCTGTCTGGAGTATACAGTATTATCATCTCTCTCTGTCTGGAGTATACCGTAATATCATCTCTCTCTATCTGGAGTATACATTATTATCATCTCTCTCTGTCTGGAGTATACAGTATTATCATCTCTCTGTCTGGAGTATAGAGTATTATAATCTCTCTCTGTCTGGAGTATACAGTATTGTCATCTCTCTGTCTGGAGTATACAGTATTGTCATCTCTCTCTGTCTGGATTATACAGTATTATAATCTCTCTGTCTTGAGTATCAGGTTAAGGAAAGGAGAGTATGGGGGTAAATACAGGGTGGTAAATTGTGCATGGGCCTGAAACCATGCTTGCACCATATGAGCATGGTGGAACCTGACATTATCCCACACAATGACATAGGTCACGCCATCAGCTCTACAGACCTGATCGAGCTCATCAAGGAAGGTTACAAGGAGAGCTGCATTATATGACCCAATATGAGGTCTGCGTCCCACCACACCATCTTCTGATATAGCCGCACACATTGTAATGTTGGCCCCACGTTGTCCAGGTACTTGGATGGTTGCCCGCTGGCCAATGAAATTCCGACCTCTCCTCCTTGTCTTGGCCAGGTTAAAGCCTGCCTCATCCAAATATATGAATTGGTGATGGTTGTCATCAGCATCCAGCTCCATCACCCTCTAAAAATACATTTTGAAAGATATTTACTGATTACTGTACAATGTAGAATTATTAGGGAATTTTATTACAACAGCCATCTTGAAACTGAACATACCTGAACATACTCAGTCCTCATTTGCTTCACTCTGTCTGCATTTCTTTCAAAAGGCACACGGTATAGTTGTTTTAAAGACACCTGGTGCCTTTTCAGCATGCGTGCAATAGTCGGCAAACTTATGGATTCCACATTGTTAAACATGTCTTCATTGTCCAAGATATGCTGGCAAATGTCTGTAAGGCGAATATCATTTCTGGCCCGAACCAAATTGACCACAGCCTGCTCTTGTTGGTCAGTCAGAATTTTGCCTCTGACTCCCCTATTTGGCCTAGTCTCAATTCTACAGGAAACATTACAGTAAGAAGACACTTGGTCACATCACCTACTCTGTGATACACATTGGTATGCAGTCATTTGACAATTGAGAGAAGCATAATGTTTAGTGCATGCTGACTACTTACCGGTTCTCATTGCGGAAAGTTCTAATTATTGAGGCCACGGTTGACCTTTTGAGGTTTGGTTGTTTCATTGTAGCCGCCTCAGTCATTGTCATGCCATGATTTCATTGGACACTCTTTGCTGTTGCTGCCGCTGTCTTGGTCCGTGGCCTTGTCCTCTACCACGTTCCCTCACGACCCCCTCTCAGAAGGGGTGCTTGTCCCCTGCCATTCCTTTGACCAACACGTCTTCCTCGCCCTCCTCCCACCACTGCTTGACCTCTATTGTGACCTGGATCACCTGCCGGCTCCATGTTACAGTACGTATCGCTATGTTGTTGCAAGTGGATCCCAATCAATTCTTTATATACTCGTTCCACAATATGAACTCATCAGTAACGAGTTGGCAGAATTGGACAAGCATCCATACAGTGCAGTACTGTCAATACTGTAAATAGTCTGAAAAGATGGTACATGGGACCATAGAAACGGTGTCTGATAAAGAATGATGATGAAATATTACATCCATAAATAATGTAGTCTAATTGGTTCATGCTCCACGCTAATTGGTAACAATGAATCTCATTATCTTGAAACTTTCATGATCTAAACATGGCATATTGTTTGTCTGTTTCCATACAACTATGCATTAAGAGTAATGCAACAGTTACTTATCATTTTGAGCAGTTGTATCAATTGATAGTTGGATAATTGTAATGAAATGAATAGACACTCATCTGAAATGTAATGTGTGAATTGCCTTTTGAAAGAGTAGTACTTTGATGTTAAGTTGTGTCATATTGAACAGGTGATTTTTGTTAAATGAACAAATGATCTTAGTTTTATGTGTATTGTATCCAAGCAATTGAAAAAAAGTGTTAGAGTTTTGAAAAATTTGCATTTTGATCATTGGTTGTGAGTTTTGTGTCTAGAGTTTTGAAAAATTACGTCAAGGTTCTGAAATTAGTGCCAAAGTGATTGTAAAAAACTGTATTATATCTCTCTGTCTGGAGTACACAGTATTATTATCTCTCTGTCTGGAGTATACGACCCTGCCTTACACAGGAAGCGGCACAGGTCCTAATCCAGGCACTTGTCATCTCCCGTCTGGACTACTGCAACTCGCTGTTGGCTGGCCTCCCTGCCTGTGCCATTAAACCCCTACAACTCATCCAGAATGCCGCAGCCCGTCTGGTGTTCAACCTTCCCAAGTTCTCTCACGTCACCCCCCTCCTCCGCACACTCCACTGGCTTCCAGTTGAAGCTCGCATCCGCTACAAGACCATGGTGCTTGCCTATGGAGCAGTGAGGGGAACGGCACCTCTGTACCTTCGGGCTCTGATCAGTCCCTACACCCAAACGAGGGCATTGCGTTCATCCACCTCTGGCCTGCTGGCTCCCCTTCCTCTGCGGAAGCATAGTTCCCGCTCAGCCCAGTCAAAACTGTTCGCTGCTCTGGCACCCCAATGGTGGAACAAGCTCCCTCACGACGCCAGGACAGCGGAGTCACTCACCACCTTCCGGAGGCATTTGAAACCCCACCTCTTTAAGGAATACCTGGGATAGGATAAAGTAATCCTTCTACCCCCCCCCCAAAATTGTAAAGTGGTTATCCCACTGGCTATAGGGTGAACGCACCAATTGGTGAGTCGCTCTGGATAAGAGCGTCTGCTAAATGACGTAAATGTGCCCTTGAGCAAGGCACTTAACCCTAATTGCTCCTGTAAGTCGCTCTGGATAAGAGCGTCTGCTAAATGACTAAAATGTAAATGTAAATGTATTATTATCTCTCTGTCTGGAGTATACAGTATTATTATCTCTCTGTCTGGAGTATACAGTATTGTCATCTCTCTCTGTCTGGAGTATACAGTAGTATTATCTCTCTGTCTGGAGTATACAGTATTATCATCTCTCTCTGTCTGGATTATACAGTATTATTATCTCTCTGTCTGGAGTATACAGTATTATCATCTCTCTCTGTCTGGAGTATACAGTATTATTATCTCTCTGTCTGGAGTATACAGTATTGTCATCTCTCTCTGTCTGGAGTATACAGTATTATCATCTCTCTCTGTCTGGAGTATACAGTATTATCATCTCTCTCTGTCTGGAGTATACAGTATTATCATCTCTCTCTGTCTGGAGTATACAGTATTATCATCTCTCTCTGTCTGGAGTATACAGTATTATTATCTCTCTGTCTGGAGTATACAGTATTGTCATCTCTCTCTGTCTGGAGTATACAGTATTATCATCTCTCTCTGTCTGGAGTATACAGTATTATCATCTCTCTCTGTCTGGAGTATACAGTATTATCATCTCTCACTGTCTGGAGTATACAGTATTATCATCTCTCTCTGTCTGGAGTATACAGTATTATCATCTCTCTCTGTCTGGAGTATACAGTATTATCATCTCTCTCTGTCTGGAATATACAGTATTATAATCTCTCTGTCTTGAGTATACAGTATTATCATCTCTCTCTCTCTCTCTCTCTCTCTCTCTCTCTCTCTCTCTCTCTCTCTCTCTCTCTCTCTCTCTCCCTCTCTCCCTCTCTCCCTCTCTCCCTCTCTCCCTCCCTCCCTCCCTCCCTCTCAGGTCAGTTCTATGCCCCTGATAGAGAGAAGGAGTATGTGTTGGGGCTGAGTTCAGACCAAGAGAACAACATCCTGGTCACTGGAGACACAGCAGGGTGTGTTCAGGTCTGGGACATCTCTCAGTACGCACTCAACATCACACAGGAGGTGAGGGTTTGTGTGTGTGAGTGTGTGTGTGTGTGTGTATGTGTATGTGTATGTGAGTTTGTGAGAGAGAGTCTTTGAGTACAGTATATGCTAATGTAGGATACATCTCTGTACTCATCTCTGTTTTATGTGTTTTACACTGAACTCTATCTTCACGTTTCACCTCCCCAGCCCTCCTCCAGCCGCCCTCCTCTCCTGCAGTCCTGGAGGGCCCATGAGGGGGCGATAGTGAGTGTTGAGGTTCTGGTGTACACAGAGAGACTCTTCTTCCTCTCTGGCTCTGTGGATGGGACCACCAGAATGTGGACGGTTGAGGGAGGGGAGGGAGGGCATGTAGGTTCCTTTGGACAGGAACCACAGTGGAGCCTCACTGACCCAGCCACTCACCACACCTCCAGGTACTGAAGTCATCTTTACTGTCCCTTTTCTGTCAGTAATCCAGAAGTGGTCCACTTGGATCAACATCACAAAGTTCTAAACATCTACTGTTTTATGGGACTTTTCCTAACTTCTTTTTGTTGTCCTCATGTAACTTCTAGGCCTACCGCAGTCTTTCTCAATCTACTCCTTTGTAGTCTTTTATGTATAACCCTAAAATGGCTCCCATTATAGATCTAAAGCTACCACAGAATTAAGCAGTCTGGCCTGGCGTGTCGCTGTGGGCTGGAGAGTATTTCTGTAAGAACGGGGTGTATTTCTAGGCACTGGGAAAAACACACAAAATGAGAGATTTGCATCAAATGAATTATGTTGAACTGTTGAAGAGGATTTGTAGGACGCATAGAAGAGGGCTAGGCTGAACTGTAAAGACTCGATGTATACATGGTGTGTCTGTGTCTGTGTGTGTGTGTCTGTGTTTGTCTGTGTCTGTGTGTGTCTGTGTCTGTGTGTCTGTGTCTGTGTGTCTGTGTCTGTGTCTGTGTGTGTCTGTCTGTGTGTGTGTGTGTGTGTGTGTGTGTGTGTGTGTGTGTGTGTGTGTGTGTGTGTGTCTGTGTGTGTCTGTGTGTTACCCTTACACAGACACACACACACTCACACACACTAATCAATATGTTCTCTGAGGGCATGATAACTACCATCTTTGAGAACAGATCACACTCACAGACCTGATGTGTGTGACAGTGTGTGTGGAACTGGTTTTAGTGGACATGAGGTCACTGTGGTACAAACCTAGTAAACAATGTGTAAACCACAAAAACATGTCATTAGATGTTTACTGGCCAATTAATCTCCCTGAAAACATAGGTTTTCAAAAAATAGATCATTATCCAAATGTTCTCAACAAAGTCTCTCTACAAAGTGATTTACATCAATGATAAGTAAAGGTCAGATATCTCTGTTTTCTATACAGAGACCAACAAAATCACCTGGCTATTTTCTATACAGAGACCAGCTAAATGACAAGGATGTTTTCTATACAGACACCAACAACATTACCTGGCTGTTTTCTATACAGGGACCAGCTAAATGACAAGGCAGTTTTCTATACAGAGACCAGCTAAACAACCTGGCTGTATTCTATACAGAGACCAGCTAAATGACAAGGCTGTTTTCTATACAGAGACCAACTAAATGACCTGGCTGTTTTCTATACAGACACCAGCTAAATGACCTGGCTGTTTTCTATACAGAGACCAACTAAACAACCTGGCTGTTCTCTATACAGAACCAGCTAAACGGCTGCTTTCCATACTTAGACCAACTAAACGACCTGGCTGTTCTCTATACAGAACCAGCTAAACGGCTGCTTTCCATACTTAGACCAACTAAACGACCTGGCTGTTTTCTATACAGAGACCAGCTAAACACCCTGGCTGTTTTCTATACAGAGACCAACTAAACGACCTGGCTGTTCTCTATACAGAACCAGCTAAACGGCTGCTTTCCATACTTAGACCAACTAAACGACCTGGCTGTTTTCTATACAAAGACCAACTAAACGACCTGGCTGTTTTCTATACAGAACCAGGTAAATGGCTGTTTTCTATGCAGAGACCAGCTAAATGACCTGGCTGTTTTCTATACAGAGACCAACTAAATGACCTGGCTGTTTTCTATACAGAACCAGGTAAACGGCTGTTTTCTATGCAGAGACCAGCTAAATGACCTGGCTGTTTTCTATACAGAGATCAACTAAACGACATGGCTGTTTTCTATACAGAACCAGGTAAACGGCTGTTTTCTATACAGAGACCAACTAAACGACCTGGCTGTTTTCTATACAGAGACCAGCTAAACGCCCTGGCTGTTTTTTATACATAGACCAACTAAATTACCTGACTGTTTTCTATTCTGAGACCAACTAAATGACCTAGCTGTTTTCTATACAGATACCAGCTAAACGAGCTGGCTGTTTTCTATACAGAGACCAGCTAAACGCCCTGGCTGTTTTCTATACAGAGACCAACTAAACGACCTGGCTGTTCTCTACACAGAACCAGCTAAATGGCTGCTTTCCATACATAGACCAACTAAACGACCTGGCTGTTTTCTATATAGAGACCTACTAAATGGCCAGGCTGTTTTCTATACAGAGACCAACTAAACGACCTGCCTGTTTTCTATACAAAGATCAACTAAACGACCTGGCTGTTTTCTATACAGAACCAGGTAAACGGCTGTTTTCTATACAGAGACCAACTAAACGACCTGGCTGTTTTCTATACAGAGACCAGCTAAACGCCCTGGCTGTTTTCTATACAGAGACCAACTAAACAACCTGGCTGTTCTCTATACTGAACCAGCTAAACGGCTGCTTTCCATACTTAGACCAACTAAACGACCTGGCTGTTTTCTATACAGAGACCAGCTAAACGACCTGGCTGTTTTTTATACAGAGACCAACTAAATGGCCTGGCTGTTTTCTATACAGAACCAGGTAAACGGCTGTTTTCTATGCAAAGACCAGCTAAATGACCTGTCTGTTTTATATACAGAGACCAACTAAATGGCCTGGCTGTTTTCTATACAGAGACCAGCTAAATGACCTGGCTGTTTTCTATACAGAGACCAACTAAATGACAATTCTGTTTTCTATACAGAGACCAACTAAATGACCTGGCTGTTTTCTATACAGAGACAAAATAAATGACCTATAGGCTGTTTTCTATACAGAGACCAACTAAATGGCCTGGCTGTTTTCTATACAGAACCAGGTAAACGGCTGTTTTCTATGCAAAGACCAGCTAAATGACCTGTCTGTTTTCTATACAGAGACCAACTAAATGGCCTGGCTGTTTTCTATACAGAGACCAACTAAATGACCTATATGCTGTTTTCTATACAGAGACCAACTAAATGACCTGGCTGTTTTCTATACAGAGACCAGCTAAATGACCTGGCTGTTTTCTATACAGAGACCAACTAAATGACCTGGCAGTTTTCTATACAGAGACCAACTAAATGACCTGGCTGTTTTCTATACACCGACCAACTAAATGGCCTGGCTGTTTTCTATACAGAGACCAACTAAACGATCTGGCTGTTTTCTATACATAGACCAACTAAATTACCTGACTGTTTTCTATTCTGAGACCAACCCTAAATGACCTGGCTGTTTTCTATACAGATACCAGCTAAACGAGCTGGCTGTTTTCTATACAGAGACCAGCTAAACGCCCTGGCTGTTCTCTACACAGAACCAGCTAAATGGCTGCTTTCCATACATAGACCAACTAAACGACCTGGCTGTTTTCTATATAGAGACCTACTAAATGGCCTGGCTGTTTTCTATACAGAGACCAACTAAACGACCTGGCTGTTCTCTACACAGAACCAGCTAAATGGCTTCTTTCCATACATAGACCAACTAAACGACCTGGCTGTTTTCTATATAGAGACCTACTAAATGGCCTGGCTGTTTTCTATACAGAGACCAACTAAACGACCTGCCTGTTCTCTATACAGAACCAGGTAAACGGCTGTTTTCTATGCAGAGACCAGCTAAATGACCTGGCTGTTTTATATACAGAGACCAACTAAATGGCCTGGCTGTTTTCTATACAGAACCAGGTATATGGCTGTTTTCTATGCAGAGACCAGCTAAATGACCTGGCTGTTTTATATACAGAGACTAACTAAATGACCTGGCTGTTTTCTATACAGAGACCAACTAAATGACCTGGCTGTTTTCTATACAGAGACCAGCTAAATTACCTGGCTGTTTTCTATACAGAGACCAACTAAATGACCTGGCTGTTTTCTATACAGAGACCAACTAAATACCTGGCTGTTTTCTATACAGAGACAAGCTAAATGACCTGGCTGTTTTCTATACAGAGACCAGCTAAATGATCTGGCTGTTTTCTATACATAGACCAACTAAATGACCTGGCTGTTTTCTATACACCGACCAACTAAATGGCCTGGCTGTTTTCTGTACAGATACCAGCTAAACGACCTGTCTGTTTTCTATACACAGACCAACTAAATTACCTGACTGTTTTCTATTCTGAGACCAACTAAATGACCTGGCTGTTTTCTATACAGAGACCAGCTAAACAACCTGGCTGTTCCCTATTCTGAACCAGCTAAACGGCTGCTTTCCATACTTAGACCAACTAAACGACCTGGCTGTTTTCTGTACAGAGACCAGCTAAACGACCTGGCTGTTTTTAATACAGAGACCAACTAAATGGCCTGGCTGTTTTCTACACAAAGACCAACTAAACGACCTGGCTGTTTTCTATACAGAACCAGGTATATGGCTGTTTTCTATGCAGAGACCAGCTAAATGACCTGGCTGTTTTATATACAGAGACTAACTAAACGACCTGGCTGTTTTCTATACAGAGACCAACTAAATGACCTGGCTGTTTTCTATACAGAGACCAACTAAATGGCCTGGCTGTTTTCTATACAGAGACCAGCTAAATGACTTGGCTGTTTTCTATACAGAGACCAACTAAATGGCCTGGCTGTTTTCTATACAGAGACCAGCTAAATGACTTGGCTGCTTTCCATACTTAGACCAACTAAATGACCTGGCTGTTGTCTATACAGAGACCAGCTAAACGCCCTGGCTGTTTTCTATACAAAGATCAACTAAACGACCTGGCTGTTTTCTATACAGAACCAGGTAAACGGCTGTTTTCTATACAGAGACCAACTAAACGACCTGGCTGTTTTCTATACAGAGACCAGCTAAACGCCCTGGCTGTTTTTTATACAGAGATCATCTAAATGGCCTGGCTGTTTTCTATACAGAGACCAACTAAACGACCTGGCTGTTTTCTATACAGAACCAGGTAAACGGCTGATTTCTATGCAGAGACCAGCTAAATGACCTGGCTGTTTTCTATACAGAGACCAACTAAACGACCAGAATGTTTTCTATACAGAGACCAACTAAACGACCTGGCTGTTTTCTATACAGAACCAGGTAAACGGCTGTTTTTTTCTATGCA